GGGGGGGGGGGGGGGGGGGGGGGGGGGGGGGGGGGGGGGGGGGGGGGGGGGGTAGGCTCTGGTTTGCGTATGGCACAACATCGTAAATAGAAAACTAGATCAAGAAGAAAACGTGCGTCTCTCTTTTTATCTTTTCATGTTCGTCATCCTGCTGCATCAAAATCGCTCTAGTTGGCACCTGCTCTGTTTCAGCAACACCGTTAATAGCAAACATATCCAGTAACGTCCTAACAAATATACACGGCGTCTATTTCTTTTTATCTTTTGCTTTTCATCGTTCTTTTATAAATTACGTCCCTTCTGTACACCCACCAACTCTCCACCGCTACACCTACCCCCAACTCCGATCCGGGGCACGCAGACAAGATTTCAAAGAGGGTATGAAACTCGGTCTGCCCTTGCTGCAACCGAACGTGCTCTCACCTCCACGCTGCGAAGGCGGGCCAGGCCGAAGCGGAACATGGCCTTCCACCCGTCCGTGAAGGTGAGGTCTAGCACGCGGAGCAACATCGGCGGCCTGAGGCTGTACGAGAAAAGGGTCAGAAACCACTGGCTCACCAGCACCTGTTTGTGTCGTGGTCGGCAAAAGCAGATTGTCACGCGTTTCGGGGGTCCAATGCGAACGGTGCACCGGTGGGAAGGAGGAACAAGAGATGAAAGGAGGGGAGGGGAGTGGAGTGGAGTGGGGGGGGGATTCTTCCGCGTCGCGTGACTCCTGTTCTCGGCTACTGCTGTGGTGGGCCCGCCTTCGCGAGATTTAACACGCTAATGAGGAAATAGAACAGGGAGGGGGTACGCAGACCCAATTCCTTACCCTAACCCTAACTCAACTTCCCCGATTGCATGCTTTATCCAACATATCTACTCAATCGGAAACCCCTGCCAAGGCTACTGCTGTGGTGGTGACAGTGGTGGTGGCAGTCTCAGAATACCAGGAACGGATACCGGAAGCGGGTGACGGGTTTCACCCACCCTGCCGGTGTGGAGAAAAGGTACCGTAGGTGACGCAAGATACCACGCCCCCTGCACTGAAATATTTCAGAGCTCGACTACACTCCACGGGCAAAGGGGCACGCGAAAATAAAACGTCATGTTTTCTGAAAAAGATCTGGACGAGACGGTTCCAACGTCGTTATTTTCGGCACCGCCACTCTTTCTGCTGTGGAGTAATCGAGCTTTGAAAATCGATCCACGGGGTGGGG